TTTTCAACTTCCTCAGTGGGTCATACTCACCCCCCCCCACACACACACACACACACACCTCAAATGTTTCCATAAACCCACAGCCTAGGTCAAGTTCTCTGTCACAACCTTACACAACTCTATGATCCTTTCCTTCAGTGTTAATTTCAGGTTAAGTATTTGTTCCTTCATGCAACTAACATGACATTTAACATTGTAAGCAAGCGTGGATCTGTAGGAGATTTGAGGAGAGTAGCGATAAACTTCCTTTTCCATGTAGTTTCTATGCACCCTTTTTGTAGGGAAATTTTAGGGCTTACCAAAAAAAACAACTTTAGTGGATGAGTGAATTTGTTCAGTTCTTAGCCACAAACATGACAAAAATCACTTCTGGTTTCATAGATTATTGAGCCTGGAGAGATAATTCCAAATGCCTTTTCTCTGGTCACTAGATATTTTATGTAGATGCCTTACGGGCTGCCTCTGAGAGGTTGGTGTTTGGAGATGGGGGCCATACTGCTAAAAAGACACAGCTCCAGGCTCCCATAGCCACTGCACCAGACAAGCTCTACTTTTATAAGATTTATTGTGAATGATTTCTATTGTGGAAAAAAAATGTGTGCAAACCAGTTTTTACTTTATAGTTGTGCAAAATAAGTGCTCAGAGAAGTACAGAATAATAGGGAAACTCATGTATGTGCTTCATGGAATTTTGTTTTGTTTTTTTTCTGTGAGAATGTCTACCCTGCTTTCCTTTCTTCCCTCCTTGTTCAACTCCCAGGAAAGATTGAAGTTGCGTTTCCCTTCGTATTGCACTTTCAACATCTGAATCCTTTCTGAGACTGGATCATATGGGCCCCCATTTGTATTTAGGTTACAGAGTGCTTGCTTAAAGTCACATAGATAATTAATTGGAGAACCACAGCTTGAACCAGGTCTCCTGAGTCCCACTCCACTTTCATCCTGCTTCTTAGTGGGTCTGCTTTCAGTAAGAGTAAGAACTTCATGCTGCCCAAAGAAAAGCAAAATCCCACAGTCCAAGCATCTTCTCCATGGAAACTTTCTTTTCATTTTTAGGAAAATTATATTTTCTGGAGATTGTATGGATACACACAATATGAAACTGGTAATTCAGATAAAGGTTTATAGAAAAGCGGCCTCACTTCCTCCTAGCCATCAAATGTCTTACCTCAATATTCATCCTCAATACTAAAAAAATTGGTCTTCTAAATTCTGAATAGAAACTCAGGATAAGGGCGAAGGGACCCAGCAATGCATTTCTTGGCATCTGCCTCTTTTCCTGGCCAATTAAAAGCATCCTTTTAATAGATCAAAGAGGTTTGAGTTCATCTTCCATCATGCCACTTACTGAAAATTACAAGTCAATTTCTATCTCTGAGGCTCAGTGTCCTGAGGATGAAGAGGTTTAACTTATACGGTTTTTTTGGAAAGGTTAAAAGAGACAAACTCCTGGCATCAAGTAACTGCACAAAAAATTATTGCTCCATGTTTCCTCTAATGAATACACATTTCTATACCTATATTACTAGGGCTAGGCCTGATACATCTATGTAAGTCCTGATCTAGAAGCTCAGAAAATAATTTTGCTTCCAATAATTTTGCTTACTAGAGTGTTCATACTATGTCATTCAGTTGAACAAACATATATTGAGTTTTTAATATTTGCTGGACACAGTATTAGGCCTGGACCGTAAGAAATGACAGATATTCAGTTCCTGTTTTCAAGGCACTGATGATTTAAATCATGCCCGACAGATGAGGCAGCCTATGTTCTTCAAGATCTCTAAGAGAAAAGATCTCACCCCACTGTTGGCAACTGCCACATTCAATTCTCAGTTCTCTGAGCAGTTTATGTGTGTTTACAATTCCTTGAGAATCAGTGTATCCCCATTTTCTCTTATACCAGGTGTCACAAGGAAGAAAGAACAGTTGGTCACCATTTTTCACCTAATAAGCCTTCATTCCCTGAGAGTTATTGAGTTATTCTTCTGTCTTCTCTTTCTAGATTAAATAATTCCAATCCCTTTAACCTTTTCTCAGAGGTCCTATTTGCCAGCCTTCAGTTTAATCATTTTCACTGCTCTGCTCTGGAGTCTCTCCAAGTCTTATGCATTAAAATATGTTGCTTTTGCTTTTGAGTTCACTCTTCTAAGCATCTTATTCTTGCATGTAAACCAAGACATAAAGGAAAGCAGCTCCCAAATAAAAGGAAGGGCATAGACAGAAAAATAGATTTCCTATGCTCAAAGCACATTAGCATTTACTGTCACCACTGTTTTACTGTCACCAATATTAAAGAGGACAGGCCAAAACCAAAACAGTTTCTAAATTGTGCCAAACATTCTGTTTGACATTTATATAAAGTACTTTTAGGCAGATCAGATTATTAACAGCAAACTTGAGGCTTGCTTTAGTTATACCTGAAGTTTTCAGGAGGGTGCTAACAAAATCGCTTGTTAATGAGATCACACAGGATTTTTTGAGTCTGTAAAATACCTCTGGTTGCCAAGCAGACTGTTGAGAGGTTGCCATGTTATTTACAGACAGTGTCTTTGACTGGTCAGTCATGGCCAAGTATTCAGGGTCTTTCTTTGCATTCTGTCAATCAATATAAATTAATATTTCCTAAGCTGAGAGTGCAGCAAATGCTAAATAACTTTTAAGAAATGATGTATAGAGGCAGATCAAATACATGCTGATCATAGTATGGCACTGACATATGCAGAAAGGGGCAGATATGAAAACCAGAACCCTAGTAAAATATCCCTTCAAGATATGCATGATAAATTGTCAGAGATCTGTTTCCCAAGAGCCCTCCCTGCCTTTTGCTCTTATTGTGCCATTGGGATAAATCTGGCCCTTGTGAGCTAATGAAGTTCCTCTTCTCTCTCCTTCTCTTTCCTTCTCTCTGTCTCTGTCTCTGTCTCTCTCTCTCTCTCTCTCGATTCTTCTGACAAATTTCCAAATCTTCTCAAGAAGCTAGGAGAACACTTACTGGATAATATTCTGCCTGTTTCAGGGACTTCTTTGTTTTGGAACCACTGTTTAGAATTTGTTTCTTTCCCCATCTGGAAAAGTTAAAAGTGTACAATTGGGGTGAAAAGAGTTGGTTAGAAGTGGAGAGGTGGAGAGAGAGAAACTAATGCCCACTCTGGGTGACTCCAGGAAAACTAGGGGTAGTTGCCATCTATCAATAGTTCAATTTCTGAGCTAGTTTAGCTCTGGCCAGACCCTGTCTGGCATGGAACTGGTTGGGCTGAGAAAGATCTGACAATAGCCATGGTAGCACCAGCTACATTCTAAAAAACCTCCCTGCCAAATTCTCTGAAGACTCCCTCAGTTCCGGTAACAGGGCAAATACATGACTTGCTGTCAGACTTTCCCAGGGAGGTGTAGTCCCAAGGAAAGTTCAATGTATCAAACAATAACTAAATGCTAAGACTTACGAAATATATATAGTGGTCCTTAAGTAATCAGCAATTAGGATGGCCAGGGCCTTATAAGCACAGCATCATAAGAAATGCCCTCCTGGGCCAAAGTCGACAGTTCGCTAGCTATTTAATTGTCAGCCTTGACCCACTATATCCCTCCTACGCTCACAGGTTCTTCATGTCCGGGCACACACCCAATGTGTTTGTCCACCCGAGTGAAGAAAAGACACAGGTCCACAAGCGCCATTGGTTAAGTGTGTGTGTAATTGAGGCCTGGGAGCTCTGAAATAATAGGTGATTAAAGCCATAGCATATTAAGTTCTTTTATGTTGATAAATAGATGTAATTTAATAGTTACCATTTTTTTATAAAAGCAAGATTCCAATTATGAAGTGGAACTACAAATGGCACCGTGGTTTCATTTATGATAGTAAAGATAGTCTCTTATCAATCGGTAAGACAGCAGAAGTAGAGCGTCAATGAGGATGTACGTTGCCATGTGACTCTGTAGTGGTTTTGGCAAGTGGCCAGGAATGCTGGATTAATAAATCACAGGAAGGCACAACTCAGCGCTTCCTCTCTTTATCCAAATATGTACCTCAGAGACTTATATCAAATCATTTCAAAGAAACGGCAATTTGTACCACCCCACTATAATCCACTGCACCCTGGGAAGCAATTTTTATTCCATTTGAGTTTGAGAAGCCATATCCCCAACATGGAACACTGGCATTTGTGCATTGGGAGGGTTAGAAAATAAGTAAAGGGAGAGAGAAAAGAGAGAAAGACAAGAAGTGAAAAGCTGAGATTGGTGAATTTTAAAAACACCCATCTATAATGAGCAAGTGACATTTTCAGTAAAGCATTTCTGGATGTGAAAAAGTAAAATAAGACTCTTGTTGACTTTCAAAAGCCAACCATTTTTGTCATTCTTTAAGAAAAAAATAGATGGCCAGCAGATTAAAGGAACTCCATTTATAAAAATCAAATGAACTCCTAGCAAAGCTTGTTTGGGACATGAATAAATCATCTGGTCATGAATTATTCATTATTATCAAGAAACAAGCTGGGGATTCCAGGAACTGGGCTTGGGGAAGTGCTGAAACCGGGGAGTGCATGAGTTCATTATCTCATACTCACCACAGAAGCAAGAGGACAGGCCACGGGGTACTGTCATCTGATGCAGACCTTGCCAGATCCCCACTCGAGTTTCAGGGGACACTTCAGCAGTCTTTCACCCCAAAGCAAAAAGAGTTTAATCCATAGAACTTTACTTTAGAAAATTGCTTGTACTCACTAACAGATAATATTTTTTGAGCCCTGGGTCTTTTGTTTTATAAACGCATGACATACATAGAGAACACGAACTGTGTGCAAAAGATAGTAGGGGCTGCAAATTTGCATTCAAAGGAGAAGGCTAGAAAATTCCTTCATGATAAACTGTAAAAATAGTCTGATCTAGTCATTCATGGCTTTGGGGGTTGGTTTTTTTCACTGGGGTGGGAGAAGGAAGAGAGAAAGGGAGCTTCTCAGATTTAATCGACTAATCAATGTATGTGTGTGTTCCAGGTCCAAACTGCTTTGCAGGAACTACAATAATTCCGGCTGGCATTGAAGTGAAAGTGGATGAATGTAACATCTGTCACTGTCACAACGGGGACTGGTGGAAGCCGGCTCAGTGTTCAAAACGTGAATGCCAAGGCAAGCAGACTGTGTAGGACCAACTCCCAACTGATGACAAGTTCTTAGGAGACAACGCTATGGCTTCTACTCTGCACATGTTTAAAATAAAACAAAACAAACAAACTCCTGCCAGCTATAACAGGGTCACCAGCAAAATCTTTTAGGGTTGATAAAAGTGAATATTTTACTAAGAGAAAATTTCTCTTTCTCTCTTGCTATATAAAATATATATAGTATATAGCTATCAAACCCGCTTTTGTAATCATACATGCTTGATGGTGACTTGATGACTGGATTTCTGGAACAAAAACAAAGAAATAGCCTTGTCCAGGCTCCTTCTCTGGTGACACTGCTAACCTGCCAGCTCACCACCCGCCGAGTTAATCCATTTTAACTCTCCTGTACATCATACATGGCATTTTTCTCTTGTAGCATTTCCTTTTCCTGTTTAGAGTCTAAGAGGCCAGGTTTGATGGCACAGTAAAGTTTTGAGTTGTATCAAACAAGCCATTGTAAAGAAATGTCAGGAGTAAGGACTCTTCCTGACCAGGAAGACCAAAAGCATCCAACCAATCATTCCCCTTGAATGAATCATGACCTGTAGGCTGAGAAGAGAGAGGCACACACAGATGGACCCACTGCTGGGCAGGGCGGGGAACTGGTGCTTGGTGCATTATTGGGGGGCTCCCAATTTGATTCTTACAAACCACACATTTCATCTGCAAAACCTTGAAACTGCCAATCAAAAACTAACATGGGAAGAATGCCAAGAACTTGGCGAAAGAATCCAAAGGGAATAGATATTCAAAATTGTAGCATTAATCACCAGACTTTATCATGATGCCGAATCTGAGTTCAGCTTGTAACACTCTAAACCCTCTCTGTCACCTGGCAGTATAAATATCAGAACCAGGGTGAGTAGCCTCACTGTGAATCTGAATCCTTCTGAACACGACTGGCTTTGTAGATCAGATTTGGCTGAAAGCCAGTAGTACACACAGGCAGATTTTATGGTTTAGGATGCATTTGCCATGTTAATGACCACTTAGCCCTATGTCTAAAACACAGATTCAGGACACTCCTTTCCACCTCAAGTGCTGATTTAAATTAAAAATTAGGGTAGAGTGAGTCTTGCACAATATAATTCCATTTGTTGAACATTTTTTTAAAATGTATATATTAGATATGAAACAATTAAATTGAACCTTTGAAGAGTCTCAAGGTTGCCCTGGTAATGCTGCTAGCATAGTAACAGAAAAAATAAACTACACAGGGTATCTGATGTCACCTCAATTCAAGTGCAAATTTAACAATTCTGAAATCACATGGTATAGTTAGTTGCTGATTCCACTCTCCTGTCTTGAAAACCCTGGCACAGATCTGGTAGGGTCCTTGAGGAAACTTGAAGGTTGTTTTCATTGCCAACGTTCTTTCTTTTTCTGCTTTCACCCCAACCTGGGCTTTGCAATAGCTCCTGTGGAGTGCCACATTCTAGAACAAGGTTTCTCAACCTTAGTGTTATTAACATTGTGGGCCAGACAATTCATTGTTGTTGGGGGGCTGTCCTGTGCATTTTTAGGATGTTGAGCAGCATCCTTGACCTCTATCCATCAAATGCCAATAGTGACACCCTAGTTGGAACAACAAAATGTCTCCAGACATTTCAAATGTCCCTGAGGGGTGGGGGGAATGGGCAGAATATCACCTGATTGAGAACCAGTGGTCTAGAATAATAAGTATAGAGTGGTTTCTGCCAGGGGATGTTCTAGGCTCACTCTGGCTGAGCCTATGGCTTAGCTGAACCTCTGACTGAGCCCTTTGGGACATGCACAATCAGCAACTCCAAGAGGGTGGGCTCAGTCTCCTCCAAATGGAGGTGCTTCCATGCCATAGGTCTGCCCTCAGGACACATTTCCTTTGTCTCATGAACTGGGTTTTCATTTAAAATTGTCAGTCTCTTCTTCCTGGAAGCACCTCCTGTCATCAAGAAGAGTTGTCATTTCCAAAATTAATGTGTTGACGAGTTGCACCTGACACTTCTCATGCACACTGTGCTTGTGTTATGATACAAATAGCCATGTCGGCGCCATCCAAGGAAGAACATCAAGCCGCCTTCTCCTAGAACACCAATTTGCACAAGGTTGGTGCCTTTCAGTTGCCGCCATGGATACATTCTATAGACAGTCATGAATCATTCACGAACAATTCTGCATGATTTATTCCTGCACTCCAAAGTAAAGGCTTTCCACACTTCAGCTTGTGTCTAGACAGAGATGTATTATAGAGCTTTCTTTGCCCTGAGGTTGTCTGTTGCCAGCTTCAAAAATCCACACTCTTGGAAAAAAATATAATAAATGACAGGAATAAGGTTTGAAACCCAGAAAATATCGTTAATGGAGCCATGTAGCATAGTACCCTATCTGTTACTAAGAAGTTACTATGTCCTTTTTAGAAAAACAGAAAGAGAGTGCAATTGACAAGCCAGGGTACAGAAATTTCGCATCAAAATCCTGGCACAGTGATAGTCCCAGCAAGAATTAACTAGAATGAAGTACAATATCCATCAAGAAACGATCTTTAGAGAGTTTGCAGAATGAAGTCTGCTCTGTGGCCTCTGTTACCAGCCAGAGACAGAGATTTTTTGTTTTTCTCTCATGTTCCACTACAAGCTCTTTCTTTAAAACTTGGCAGCACTGACATTTTTCCCCTTTTAGGGAGAGATGAACCTATACTGTGACAGAATTTCTCGTGACCAGAAACATTTACAACTTCCTTCTACGCAGGTCATTGAGAAATTCTTTCCAAACTCTGAACAACAGAGTTGTGGTCTCATCTGTTGTTGTTGTTGGTTTTTTTTTTGGTTTTTTTTGAAGGCTTTGTTTGCAACCACACTATCACCTCTGTCCTCATATTCCTCCTCTACCTTTGGTTCTCGGCTTTAACTACAGCTATGTTTAAATAAGGGATCAACATCCTGTTTGTCAACTGATGCCTGTTTAAAAAAAAAAAGATTCAGTTTCTAAAATCTTTGAAAAATGGTGTGCCTGAAAACTAGTGAGAAAAAAAACCAACTTAAACACTAAACTGTAAAAAGGGGATTCTAGCAACAATATTTCATGTGTAAAAAATATATTATTAAAAATTATTTTGTTAAATATAAAGTGTGTTAACCAGCAAACTTTGTTTGTGGTATATTTTCCTTCCTAAATTTCTCCCTTCTCCCTACCTTCACCATTTAATGACTATTCTCAGTGACTTTTGTCGTCCATAAGTACACATGTCGTTGGAACTATCAATCAGAATTAAGCATTAGCTTTAGCACTTTTTCATAATATAAGGCAAGGTTGACTTGGGGATTGGAGAGGGAGCTCAAATAAGCCAGCAATGATGGGAAAACATTTTCCTGACCTGTCTCCATACACAACACTAATGATAATCTATAATTATTGAGTGTTTGCTCTTTGGCAGACCCTGGGCAACGACGCACCGAACCCACTGCAGCTTCCTCACTCCATACAGCACACCTCTACAGAAGGGGCTCTTGTTATCTCTGCTTTGCTGTTGGGGAAACCAAAACACAAAAAAGTTAAGCGATTTGCCCAAGTGGCAAAGCAGGAATTTTGTATTATAAACGTTTTCAAACACATACACACACACACACACACACAAATCAAGAAAAGCGTAGAAGGAACCTTCATTTACCCGTTGCCCAGATTCAACAGTTATCAAGATTTTGCATAATGCTTCATCTAGTCTTCTTTTTTTTTTCTTTGAGTATTTTAAAGCAAATGTCAAGCATTCTATAATTTCACCCCTACCTCTTACAGTAATCATCTCTTTTAAAAGAAGGGATAGTCTCTTACAAAACCATGTGTTATCTGTTACATTACCAAAGCCTACCAAAATTAATAATAATTCTTTAGTAGCATCTAATATCCAGTCCATATCCAAATTTCTTCGACTTTCTAAAATATGAGAGGGAGGGGGGTATTCGCATGACCCAAACCATCCATAACACTGCACTTGGTTGTAATGCCTCCTAAGTCCAAAATGGGGATTTGAGCCTGGCCAATTGACAGCTGTGAATTCTGACAGACTCCTGGGCTTGTTGTTATTGGAGGGTTTGTGATGGCAAAATTACTCTTTTAAAGCTCCATCTTAACCTCCCTCCTAGATGCTGAGCAGGGCAAGCAGTGGGCAAGACACTTTCTACCAACTAATCTCTGAGGGGCAACAATCTAGAGCACACAGAGGACACTGCCTTTTCTATGTGTGTAAGCTTTCCTTGGGGACTAAGAGCAAACTGTTATTTTTCTCCTCCTTGAGACAAACATACTGCCTAATACAGAGTAAAGCTGAACAATATTTTATAAATTGCCATCATTTTCTGCACTGTTGGAGGAAGAAAGAAAAAAAGCCAACCACTACGAAAACGTCAGCATGGAGTCCCCACATGTACACATCCACATCCCCGGTCCACCAACATTTTCTTAAAACAAGATTAGACTCTTGCTTTTCAGTTTCCCATGTGTCCAATTTTCTGCTCCCTATGTCCCTTGCAAAGGATTGTTTATAGTTCATTGCGAATTCAAATTTCATGGGAGGGCACTTCAAAGCACAGAGCAGAAAGCTATGAACTGTGACAGGCCTGGGTTTGTGGTTATTTGAGGGGTTGTGTTGGGAATATTCCTCTTAAAAAAGAAAAAAAAGGAATCTAAGTGATTTTGAAAGACAAATGCTATCTCTGAGCCAGCAACCTCTCAGATACTTCCTTACCACATTTGTACGGGATTGATACCTGGAATTGGAGTGACAGTGTTATCAGTGAGCCTCAAAGTATACTGTCTGGTGTGAACACCTGATTGTCCTTGGTCAACCATACACATCTAGAAAGCATGTTGTTCTTCTGATGAACAAGACATAACTTGTACCATAGTGCCTTTCATAAGACTACGAGTTAAATGAATTGAGTTAAAGAAATTTCTTTCATTTCACTTTAAGGGCTCAAACTTTGTTTTATATTCCAAATCTGTTTAGTGATGGTAATGATTTGATGGCTTTTTTTCTTTTTCTTTTTTTTTTTTTGGCAGGAAAACAAATAAATGTATTATGTATTAAACAACCAGAGAGTTATGGTGGAAGATAGGCAATTTAGAAATGTTTTTGATGTTTTGATTGCTAAACTATTATAGTAGATAGAGGAAAGAGGGGAAGCTAGAGTTAAAAGAAACTAAATTTTAATTCTGAATTTAAAAATTCCAGAGAATGACAGAGTCTACTTTTTAGAGAAAACAGCCTCCCAGAAAATCACCTGAGGGTGCCTCCAAGTCTGGCTTCTTACATAAGTCATCTGTATATTTTGTAAAAAATGATTAATAAATAAATAAATGTGGTTCCACAACTTTCCTTAATTGGTAGTTTAGTTTCGAGCTTTTTTTTTTTTTTTCCTGACAAAAACTTCTCTGTTAAGCCCTACCAGGCAGCCCCAAAGCAAGATATATATTTATATATACAGAGGGTGCCAAAAAAATGTATACACATTTTAAGAAAGGAAAAAAACTGTATTAAAATTGAAATACCAATAATAAAAGATGAACACAAGTCATTTTTTGGCACCCAGGTATAGCTTGTTTTGTGTTGTGGAGAGGCTTTTCCCCATGAATAGCTTAGGCTATTCTGCATAAAATCCAAAATCTATATACTACAGTGTAAAACCTGTAGTTTTTTAAATTATTTTTAAGAGTAATATAATGAACCCAATTTATTATCACTCAGCTTTAATAATTAGCTCATGGGTAGCCTTGTTTCATGTATTACCACCTCTTACCTCCCCAGATTATTATTATTTTTTTCTTTTTAAAGGATGATGGCTGGGAGAAATGGGTGAAGGGGGGAGTCAAACGATGTCTTCCTTTTTAACTTTTGAAAATCTTGAACTCAGAGTCATTTGAAACCCAAACTCCAATTTAATTAATTGCATTACTTGATAGTACTTGCATTACTATCTGGCTTTGAGTAGGTACACTTTTTAAAAAGTATACTTTTGGAATGAAGTTTGAGTTTTTAAATCTTCCAAATAAATAGTTATATGAAGTGGGTGGTGTTAGGGAAGAATTTGGATCTAAAGTTTGGCTACAATTTCTTGAGCCAGACACTGTATTGGCTACTTTATATGAGACAGTAATTTATATTCATTAGTTCAACCATCCTCATTACCACCATGAAATTATGAACTGGCACTCCCATTTGCAGACTGGCACACTGAGATTCAGAGAGATTTTTTGTGATTTTTCTCAGGCTTACACAACTAAGAAGAGGCAAAACCAGCTTTTATATCAAGAAGTCTTAAGTCTGAAACAGAATACTACCCACAAAACAGCTCAGAATAGAGCCGGGCAGATAAGATGAGCCTATTCTACATTATCTATCTTTAGGACTTGTGGTATCATAAAAGAGATCTCATGGATAAGGTAATCTTTGGATTTAGACTTTGGCGCTTGGGTACAAGTTAGGCAGCTATTTATGGAACAATACTGTAGTGCAGAAAAAAATGAACCGTGTCTTGGGAGTGTGACAAGCAGTCAGGTGTGATATGAGTGTGAGGTTGGAGATGGTGGGACACAGTGAAAGATGTGTCCAGGAAGAAAACCCAGTTCTTAGGCCCTGGAAGATCATACTGAGAAAATTAGATTTGGTTTTTGTTAATACCATATATTAATTAACATCAAAAAAGAGGGTGATATGCCCATATGTGTGTCTTGGAATAACGATCTGGCAGCAGAGTGAAGGGTGGATTGGGGCCTGAGGATAGAGAAGTGGGGACACTAATGAAAGGCAATTACAACAGTCCTGGAAAGAACAAAAAGGATTTGATCCCGTTGTGGTGAGACTCAAACAGACCAGTTGGGGCAATAAGACTTCATGGAAGATCAAATGGAAATTGGAGAAATAAAATAGCCGACATTTCTAGGTCAGGTAATTAGAAAGATAATGATGCTAAGTGGAACCTGTACTTTCCTTGGGGGTGGCATATAATCTCATTTTAGACTATGCCAAAGGTGGTGATAATATCAGGTATTTATTTATTATTATTATTATTATTATTATTATTATTTACTTTTGCAAAGTGGTATTTATTCCAGAAATGATCACTCAATATTGACTAAAATTAATCATATTAATAGATCTAAGAAGAAGCGTTATACCATCATTCCATGTTGAAATTCATCAGGTATTTAGAATTTACCTGAGATATGCTTGTCTCCAGGGAAGCCCATTCTGTTTCTATTTGCCAATTCTGTTTTCACCTCGGTTTAAATAATTGCCATTTGAATAACCCAAGTTATCTACTGGTCATACATTTTTCCATAGTATTCTTGAAATGTGAGTCAAAGGTTGGAATAGCAAGAAGAACAGAATTCTTCACTAATATGTGGCAAATATTAGCATCATACCACACTTAAATAAAAATCATTGGCATATTGTAACATACACTGCTTATAAATTTCAGCACCTCTTTCTGTTCATGTCCCTTTAGAATATAAAATGTAAATTTCATTTTCATGTTGTTCATTAGGGTTCTGAAAATTCTAAAACAGGTTTTAGCCATCCACTGTGGCCCTCTCTCATTTTTCCCCCAGAACATATAGGAATAAATGGCAAGTTATGTCTTGGGGCAGACTTTTGATTTGAGATTTCTAAAGATGCCCACCTTTCTACCATTACATTTTTCTTTGCCTTTGTTTTTTTAGCTTTGGTCCCTTTTTAGTTAATCACAGCATTGGGTCAGCCAGACCCATTAACTGCATTTCTCATTTAGGCCTTTCAGAGATGCAGCTGCAGATGCAATTTAATTTGTTGACCCATGATCGATAGCAATTAATAACATATCTTTAATCTTGTTGAAAGGGCTGTCTTTGGCTTCCAGTAGCTACCATCTCAAGGGAAAGGTATCCACCCTCACAGGTTATTTAGCTTCTAGGCAATAGTTGTCCTCAACCACCTACTTTTCTTGTGACTTAGTAGTCATTTCAGAAGTCACTATTCTCTAGGACATTTTCAATTATCACACAATAGTGCACTTGTATTCTGTCTTAAGATTCCTCCATTACAAGTTCATCATGCAAATGTTATGGACCAGGAACTCTGAGAAAA